CAATTGCATACTTTAAAGCTCTGGTATTATTATTTGATCGTTCATCTGTTCCTCACAGTAGGTTTTGTAGTAAGAGTCCATGGATCTAACTCAGCAAGTGCTCACTTACTTGATCTACCCCACGCAAATCTTAGGCCTTCCTTCATTGTCATATGCTTCCTTTCTATAAAAGAGAACGTAATTTCTGCTTTGTGTATCAGATGGTTGTGTGTAAATTATTTGAATTTAAAGTTCTTATGTTTAACTGCTAGTAGTAAATTATAAATAGTAAGTCTGTGACATTATATCCCAAAGGAATTTGCAAATTACTTGCTATATAGAATAGTTGTATCATGAGCATATTAGGTTATGTGAAGTCCAGTGTGTATGTTTATAGAAATAAAGTGGGAGAAATACTTTGATGAGCCATTCTGATTACTGTTAAACCTGTGGAGCCTCTTACTCTGTCTGTCTCAGTACCCTCAGGCCTACTCAGTGCTAATTTGCCACTAAATGTAACTCTTAAGTTTAAATGAAGATAATGTATTTTTATACGGCATAATATAATGCCCAAAATGCAAGGCAAGTTTTTTTGGTTTTTGTTTTTGTTTTTATGTTGTAGTTCTAGGGATCAAATCTGGGACATTTTGCATGATAAGCAAGAACTGTACCAACTGAGCTACAAATATTTATTCTTTTTTGTTGTTTGTTTGGTTTGTTTTTTTGAGACAGGGTTTCTCTGTGTAGCGTTGGATGTCCTGGACTTGCTTTGTAGGCCAGTCTGGTCTTGAACTCATAGCAGTCTGCATGCCTCTGCCTTCCTGAGTGCTGTGATTAAAGGTGTGTGCCACCATGCCCGGCTCAAATTTTTTCTTTCTTTCTTTTCTTTTTGGCTTTTTGAGGCAGGGTTTCTCTGTGAAGCCTTGGCTGTTCTGGACTCACTTTGTAGACCAGGCTGGCCTCAGAGTTACAGAGATCTGCTTGCTTCTGCCTCCCAGAGTGTAGGTGTTGAAATGAGAGCTCAGCTAAAAGAATATTTAAAAGAAAGCTCAGAGGGTCTTACTGTATTGGACTTGAAGTCTGTCTTGTTTCTATTGCTGTGAAGAGTCATCATGACCAAGGCAGCTCTTATAAAGGAAAACATTTAATTGGGGCTGACTTACAGTTTTAAAGGTTTAGTTCATTATCGTCATGGTGGGGAGCATGGCAGCTTGCAAGGGAGACATGTTGCTAGAGAAGGAGAAGTTGCTGAGTTCTATTTCTTGATCCAAAGGCAGCAGAAGGAAACTGTGTTCCACACTGTGGCCACACCTCCTGTGCTATGCTGGAGTTTTCTTACACTCTGTATTTGTCTGGAGTATGTTTTCTGATAACTGATATAAATATATGTATGGTCTTCTCTTCTGATGGAGATATCTAGCCTGTCCATAGCAGTCTTTTCTAAAATAACTTGAACACAAAACAAAAATAATAACCATAACAAAAAAGCCCTTTTGGTATAAACATAAAGGTGAATATAATCGAATCAAAGCCAATTGAAAGAAAAAGTTGTTCAGTTTTCTGATTGTCCAGTTTGGATTGCCTAATTGGCAGACATTCTTCCTTTCATATTTCTTTTTTCTTCATGTATCTTTTCCTGTACAGCCTAAGTCAAGCACCAGTCATTTTGTTATTAATTAGGAACAAATAAAGGTGTTCAGGGGAGCTGTTGTGACTTCTGATTTATATATATTTTTGTGAGTGATAATTAACACCAGTTTTATGATTTATATTATAAATTTTATATTTTCATTCCTTGGTCTAGTCTTCTGTGTAAGAATCATGTAAATGAAATGTTTTTTGTTGTTGTTTGTTTTTTGAAACAAGGTTTTTCTGTGTAGACCAGGCTGTCCTCAAACTCAAGAGATCCCCGCCTGCCTCTGCCTCCCAAGTGCTGGGATTAAAGGCCTGTGCCACCACTGCCTGGCAAAAAGTAGAAGTTTTAAAATAATATTTCTATTACTGCTTAGATTGAAGAGTATTTGCCAAGTGCAAACCAATTAGTGGTATTTGGCAGAGGCTCTTCTATTTTTTTTTTTTTTTTTTTTTCATTTTACCTGTGACCAGTTTATTTTAATCCCACTTGCTCATCTGTTTATATACTGGGTGTTGGGTGTTTAAAAACAGCACAATAAATGGCAGTGACTTTTTTCCTCCCCCCAGCGGGTGGGGGAGGGCTAGGTTCAAGACATAGTTTGGAACTCTGTAGACCAGGCTGGCCTTGAACTCTCAGAGATCTGCCTTCCTCTGCCTCTTGAGGGCTGGGATTTAAGGCGTGTGCCACCATTGCCCAGCTAATTTTTTCTTATAAAACAAGAAAGATGCAGATATTTGCTAAGAAATAATTACTGTTAATTTTCTTGGGTGTGCTACTAATTTAATATTTCTGTCTTTAAAAATAATTTATTTAATTTTATGTGCAGTGGTATGAGGGTGTCAGACCACCTGGAGTTGGAGTTACAGACAGTTGTGAGCTGTTTGTTGAACCCAGGTCCTATGGAAGAGCAGCCAGTGCTCTTAACCACTGAGCCAGCTCTCCAGCCCCAAATATTTCCACCTTTTATGTCTGCATTTTAGAGAGAGAATTGTTTGGAAAATGGGGTGGGGATGATCATGTGAGGCAGCTATGGGCTTACGGTAGCTTTTTAGCTATCTTGTCGATCAATCTCCTGAGGGTACCACAATTGTCTTTAAAATGATCAAAACACTAAATATTATTTTAATATTTTCTATTATTTTAATATCGGAAAGGTACTACACTCCTTGATAATTTTAGTTCCTAGTCTGCATGTTTTAGGAATTAACATGTTCTGTATTTCTGTCTTTTCAGGTCTATGCTTGGGGCTGTGGTGCTTGTCTAGGTTGTGGTTCTTCAGAAGCTACCGCTTTGAGACCCAAGCTCATTGAAGAATTGGCTGCCACAAGAATAGTTGATATTTCTATTGGAGACAGTCATTGTTTGTCTCTTTCGCATGGTACAGTCATGTTTATTTGTTTGTTTTAGTATTTTAGGTAACATCTTTATAGCCTAAGCACAAAGTTTAAATCCTCCTATGTTAGCCTCCTTAGTGTAGGGATTACAAATATTCTAGGTCATTTGTTTTTAAAGAGGTATTATGAGTTCTTTTTCTTAAATGTTTTCCATTTAAATTTAACTTTTATGCCTTATGTCTTTATTTTTAGATAATGAAGTTTATGCGTGGGGCAATAACTCCATGGGGCAGTGTGGCCAGGGAAATTCCACAGGTCCTATTACTAAACCAAAGAAAGTGAGTGGCTTAGATGGCATAGCTATTCAGCAGATCTCAGCTGGAACATCGCATAGTTTGGCATGGACTGCTCTCCCTAGGGACAGGTAAGTGCTATATTTAAACATTCTTATGAGTTTTTTTAAAAAATATTTTCTTATATTTATTTTAGGACTATGAATGTCTATTGAGTCAACATTACACAATATACATCAGAAGTTGAATAATTAAATTTAATACTAGTAATAATGATGATGCTATATTAAAATAAATTCCTAAATAGTACAAATTTTGGTAGTAAGTATATTGGTCTCATGTTTAACCACACATGCAGAAATCTACAATAATAAGATACATACTATTCAGCTGATGTTCCTGATGGCACACCATGTGAGTGAGGGTCCAGGTGGCATGTAAAGGATACTGGGTTCATCCTAAGATGCCTTCTTTTGTAAAATTGTACGTGCAATTGGACCATTTGCAACTCTTCACAGCAAAGTTTTCATGTAAACTCATATGTTAATTTAAAGTAATTTAATTTGTATCAAAGAAATATTATTATTTTTGTAGGTAATTGTGTTAATACCTTTGCCTACTATAACAATTTATATAAACGCCTTAAAAGCGGAAAGGATTTGTTTTGGTTTACATGTGTCCATCCATGATCTTCTGGCTCCATTGCCTTGGCCCGAAGTAAGTCAGAACATTCTGGCACAGCCCAGAAGTTGCTGGGCAAAACACTTCATATGCAACCCTACAAAAGTATAACAAACAGTAGTATTACTAAATTTAGAATAAAATTTCATGTGTTTTTAAGATTGACCAATATATATGAATATATATGTACATATTTAAAGGCTATATAATTTCTAGTATTTACTCTGTTATCATAGAAATGACATTTGGATCTCTTTTCATGTGTATATTGAGGTTACATATATTTCAAAATGAAGAAGCTGTATTTAAGACACTTAATGTCTTCTCATTTTGAATTCTCTGTCTTTAGAAAATTAAAAATTAAAAGTTAAGTGTCAGGCTGAAGAGATGGCTGAGTCAGCAAAGTGTTTGCCTTGCAAGCGTGAGGACCTGAGTTCAGAATCCCAGTCCCCACATAAAGGCCAAGTGCTGCAGTACATGTCTTTTCTCTCGATGCCAACGGTGCAGTGGGGAGCACAGATGGATCTCTGGAATTCACTCTGTGGACTGTTAGCGAGCTCACCAAGGTGGTGAGCTCTAGGTTTAGTGAAAGACCTTGCACACAAAAATAAGGTGGAGAGTGACTGAGGAAGACACTGAACATCAGCCTCTACATTCCACACACATAGAGGCTCACCCCCACCTTCACATGCACACCACATGTGAACACATGTATCACAAACACAGTTGAGTGTCTTTGTATCAAGAGGAAATGAACTAAAATCAGAACTAGGCTTTACTGATTTAAAACATTTGTTTAACTTCATTGCCCTTTGTCTGGTTGGTCTTCTTTGTAAAACAAAACAAATTACTCCCAAATAACAAAATGAAACAAAAAACAAAACAAAAAACCAAGACCTAGTTGCTATACTTTTAAATCAAGTAAGCTGTTTTGTTGTATTGTCTCCCCCCACTGTGTCTTGTTTTGTTTTTTTTCTCTCCGACAGCTAGTATTTTATTGAGATAGCAGTCTCATTATACATGGTCCAAGAATAAGAACTCAAATAAAATCAGATGTTAAAGATTGGTCTTCAAACATCATAGCCAACTATGCCATGTTTGCCTATGATCTGTCTCTTGGATATAAAACCACGTCCACACCTCAGTGGCCACCAAATCATTCAGCACAGCTTCCTTAATTGTAAGCTGTTTGCAGCTACCAGTTTTAGCGCTTTGAATGATTTCTTTCCCTCTCTGAATAGCTGTAGAGATTTCAGCAGGGTTGGGGAACCAGCTAACCTTGGCATACTGACAAAATGTGGCCAGTGGAGGCTTCAAGTAAGTCATGGCAGCAGTCACCAGCCCAGGAGCCTTCTCCATGAAGTTAGGAAGTAACTTGGCCGTGGTCTGAGGTAGAAGGCCCATCTCGCCCAGTGTTTTGCTTTTGATCGTGTGTAGAAGTTGCATTATAAGGCTATTAGATACTTTTCTTATGCTTTCTTCTAGACAAGTTGTTGCATGGCACCGGCCTTATTGTGTAGATCTTGAAGAGAGTACCTTCTCACATCTGCGTTCCTTTCTTGAGCGATACTGTGATAAAATAAACAGTGAGATTCCCCCCCTGCCTTTCCCTTCGTCACGGTATGTTGTAGATATGTACATGGGCATATATATTAATTACTCTTCTCAGCCTTTGACTTACTCTTCTTGGTTTTTCTTCAAATTACCTGAGTCTTCTTGATAAAGTTAGAAAAGAGCTGAACTTTTATTAGTAACTTTTTGGTTTTAAAAGGTTATATATAATTTCATAAATGACATTTTAAAATTTATCATTGGTCATCACTTGACAAAATTTTTAAAGAGAAAAAATGTTCCTCAAACTGGATATTATATTTATTTTTATGCTTCAAAAATTCACAATAGCTTGTTTCATTTCAGGGAACACCATAATTTTCTTAAGCTGTGCCTGAAGTTGCTTTCAAATCACCTTGCTCTGGCCCTTGCGGGTGGGGTAGCTACCAGTATTCTTGGGAGGCAAGCAGGTCCACTTCGAAATTTACTCTTCAGGCTGATGGACTCAACTGTCCCAGATGAAATCCAAGAGGTAAGAGTAATCTGTGATCTGAACTTCTCCACACTAGATATCAATTGCAGGGTCTCTCTGTGTAGCCTTGACTGTCCTGGAACTCAGTCTGTAGAACAGGCTGGCTCAAACTCAGAGGTCCGCTTGCCTGTGCCTCCCAAGTGCTGGGATTAGAGGTGCGACTCACCACATCTGGAGATGTTCTTAAACTCTCTTAACTAAATAACAGGTTTTTTTTTTTTTTTTTTAACACAGTATCTTTAGAGTTATATAATCCCAACAGTTAGTGCAATCACTTTTTATGTTGCTATTAAAAAGAGAAGCTCTGGGCTAATCAATACACTTTTCCTTTTTCTTTCTTTCCTTTTTGTTTTGTTTTTGGATATTAGGTGGTAATTGAAACACTCTCAGTGGGAGCAACCATGCTGTTACCTCCATTACGAGAACGGATGGAATTACTTCATTCTCTTTTGCCCCAAGGACCTGATAGATGGGAAAGCTTATCCAAAGGACAGGTGAGCTTTTGCATGTAGAGAAACCATTCACATCATAGGAAATTGGACTGAGAAGAAAATAGAGCAAATCAAGCGTCAAATGTTCACAGAGTAGTGTTCGGTAGTTCTGGTGCAGCCTGATTATTTGATGTTTTATGTTGGGAGAATTGTTGGATATCTAGTGAACTGAAATGATACACAGGGTCTGTTCTTAGAGTCATGATTCGTTTTTCTAGTATTAATTATGATGTCAAACCAGACACGCTTGGTTTATTGTAAAGTACTGAGTGGAAATCATTCTTGTGTTACTGCTGTTGGCCCTATGCCTACAGTTGCTTTTCTGAAAAGAAAAAGGTCATCATTAGCAAAAAGCATTTGAGGTTTGTTCTTATTTTTAATTTTTGTTATTTTTAAGTGAAATAAATGAAAATAAGTGCTTTGCTGAGCCAAGTGGAAGAGTCAATTGTAGAGCTATAGATTAGAGGTGAAATAAGGTACTTAGTGGCAATGTAATGTCCACAGATGTTTTCCAGTATAATTTTTGCAGTTGTCATCATTAATTTTGTAGAATAATATGAGTATGTATCTGTTGGCATTTTCTACAAATGTCTACTTACAGTGCTTAATTTATTATGCACATCATTTTAGCTATTTATCATAAAAGATGAGATTAAAAACCTGTAATTTACATTTTCCCAAATGATATTAATTGAAGTTTTTACTATAATTATGTACTTGTTGAAGGTTGTGTATCAAGTAAGTGGATTAGTTAGCATTGTTAGTATAGTTTTTTGTCCTAACATCCTTTTCTTCTCTCTTCTAATGAATGTTATGCTTGTTATATGTTTCTTTTTCATTATTGTTTAGAGAATGCAACTGGATATAATTCTGACAAGTTTGCAAGATCATACCCATGTAGCCTCCCTTCTCGGCTATAGCTCACCTTCTGATGCTGCTGACCTTTCGACTGTGTGCATGGGTTATGGAAACCTGTCAGATCAGCCTTATGGTCCTCAGACCTGCCATCCAGACACTCATCTGGCGGAAATTTTAATGAAGACCCTCTTAAGAAATTTAGGGTTTTATACGGTACCTTGCTTTTTCAATATATTAAGAAAGGATTAAGGGGTAAGGATCTTTTTAGGTTAAAGCATTTCAACATTTAAACAATATAAATAAAATTTTAGATTCCCTTTCCCAAAGAGAAAAACATGTCATATCTGAAATACTGTAGTGTTCATGTAATATGTAACTTAAAATTATAAAACTACTTATGTTAAAAATTTCTTAAGTGTTTCTCATGTAATGAAGAATAAACATAAAATAGTTTTCTAAAACATTTGAAATATAGTCTTCACTATGTGTCATTTTAGGATCAAGCCTTTGGAGAGCTAGAAAAGAACAGTGATAAATATCTTCTTGGAACATCATCTTCAGAGAATAGTCAGCCTGCTCATCTTCATGAATTGCTGTGTTCACTACAGAAACAACTGCTTGCTTTTTGCCACATTAATACCATTACTGAGGTATGCAGTTCTGTGCTTTTCATGGTGCTCTATTGGGAACCTACAACTCAGATAGTTGGGGATGCCATAATATTTTTGTATTTCGGATCTTTCAGAGTGTTGATTTAGAGACTTTTTCTCCGCAGAACTCAAGCAGTGTGGCATTGCTTCATAAACATCTTCAACTCTTGCTGCCTCATGCCACAGATATTTATTCACGTTCTGCAAATTTGCTTAAAGAAAGTCCTTGGAATGGCAGTGTTGGAGAAAAATTAAGGGGTGAGTTTGGTATTGAATTTCACATTTAACCAGTGGTTATAAAGCAAGAGTTATTAGAACTTTTCTAAAACCTCAAGAAGACCTGACACCTCTGTATAGAGGAGAAATGATTCTGAGTTTTCTTTGTATTGATTTTGTTTCCTTTCATCTTGGTTTAGGGGTGATGTAATACCGATTGATCTTAAAGAATTCTAATGGTCTCAACAGATCTAATTTAAAGGCATTGGGTGCTATAAACTCAAACAGTTAATTTATGATATAAATTAACATTTTTATCTACTGCAGTATTTCTCTATCTCCCCCCTCCCTCCCTCCCTCAAAACATTCCTGTTTTGAGACAGGAATGTTCTGCTCTAGAACATGCTGTTCTTAAACTCAAAGTAATCCTTCTGTTTCAGCCCTTCAAAGGCTGGGATTACTACCACACCCTGTCCAATTTCCTTCTTGAAATGCTTTCTTCCATGAGCTTTCTTCTGTGTACCACAGTCCTTTTTCTTACCCATCTCGACCAGTGTTTTTCTGGGACTTTCCAAAGGATTTATCCTCTCTTCCTTTGGATATGCCCTTCCACTTTGGGATCCTTTAAATTTTGCTTTTAATCCTCTTTTCTTTCTGAATAGGCTCATCTAGTCTAAATGTCTTTGACCACCATGCATGTGCTCCCATGTTTGCACCTAGCTGAGGACTTTCCAGGCAGCAGAGCCTCTCTTTAGTTGCCTACTGAGTATTTTATTTGTTGTTGATCTCTGAAGTTTTACTTCCTAAAACAAAAACAAAAACAAAAACAAAAACAAAAACAAAAACAAAACAAAACAAAAAAGAAATCTGATGAACCAAGACTATTGCTTATTAGTTATTCTGGTTTGGCTATTCTATATACAACATAAATTTAATGTTCGTTCAGACTGGATTCACTTCTGAATATTCCTCTTGGCACTGAGTACAGGGAAATACTGGAACAAATTTGGTTGAAAAGTGATACCCATTATGAAAGGACAGCTATTTTATGATGATCTTAATTTTAAAAATTATTTTAATTTAGAAAAATATAAAACACCTTGCCTTACTAGAATGTTAGCCATCACAGGAAGATGGCTACTGTTGGCTGCTTTGGTCATGGCTGTCTTTCTGTTTAGAATTAGTTTCTAGTCTGTTATAGGTACTCTCAATGTTTGACTAAGTTTTTAAAGTGGGGATAAATTAATGAATGTGCAATTGTAATGTATCTTAAGAAAGCAGTTTTTGTGTTTTGAGTTTGTTGGCATGCGAGGTAAGTTTGTTTTCCATAGTGTCTGTTGATGTTATTTTCTGGTGACAAAATACTAATATGACAATAGCTGTCAGGTAGATACTGAACAAAGAGATATTGAATTTATCTACTCTCTTTCCAAACAGAAGAAGTATTTAGTTTTTTTTTTTTTTTTTTTAAGTTTATTTGAGGTCATTGATTTACATTGCATTTCTCTGCTCTTCATAGATGTTATCTATGTGTCAGCTGCAGGCAGCATGCTCTGCCAGATTGTTAACTCCCTACTGTTACTCCCCGTGTCAGTGGCTCGTCCTTTATTGAGTTACCTCCTCGACCTCTTGCCACCTCTTGATTGCCTTAACAGACTCCTGCCAGCTGCTGCTCTTTTAGAAGACCAAGAATTACAGTGGCCTCTTCATGGTAAGTCCAGGCAGTAAAAGTTAAATAATGTTTTTGAAAAGGTTGTTCTTCTTACATATCTCAAATAAAAATCTGACAATATGGTGTTTCATGTGATCCAAACGATGTGATATCTTCTAAGTGACCACCTGCCATGCAGTAGCTAAGAAAGTTGCTTATGGCTGTCACAAAAAGCATCTTTATGGCGGTGATTATAGAGCTTTTCTGTTCTTCAGAGTGTGACGTAATTGAAATTAAGATGTGTCTTATAACAGATAGCAAAATTGTGTCATGATTTAGTCAGCAATACTCTTTCTTTGGAGGTATTTAAAGTAATAATACATTTATAAACAATGAATAATTATATTTAA